TATCTATCTGGCCCGTTACAAAGAGGCTCCTTTGATAAGAACTTACCTATCGTCTCTCAAAATCTATAAAACCTTATTCCCCTGCTTTTAATTTCTTATATCTTTTCACTATTTTCAATCTCCTAGCTAGCTAGCTACTCTTTCTCTTGCTTATACTCATCCACTCTTTCTTTAGCAACCATCGGCAACTATGTGTATATGACTTTATCATTGGTAAGATATTTGATGTTGAAAGTCTATACATGATTGGAAACCCATATAACTAATCTTCACCCTATGTAGTTGGTTTTAACGACCGATACACTATCAAACAGGGCCCTCGTCATCTTCCTCGTTAGTCTTAACCCTGCGGTTCGACCATTTTTGCAAAACAGGAATTGCCAGGCCAGTCCAGAGAGCCAGAGCAATAACAAAGACCAAACCGCTAGCCCAGCCGTGCGTCTGTTTAAAATGCGGTGCCTGCGAGCTAGGGAATTGATACTGCTGGAATGGAATCACAACGGCCCCGCCCACTGATGTCATGAATCCGAGAATAAAGCCTCGCTTCTGTTGGTCACCTCCACAAGCCTCGTTAACCCACCCGGCTAGTAACGGGGTGAAGCAGCCATAACATCCGCACAGAATAAAGACAGCCATCTTGAGGCCATGGGGTACATCCCAAATCGTGAGAATAATGTAACAGAAGGCCAGGAGGGATCCCACTGCAAGACAGACAGGACCACGCCTGCCGATCTTGTCCGCGACGTAACCAGTTGATATCATAAATACGAAATTGACGGCGCCGATCGATGTGGGGATGTTGTTCACTTGCGGAACAGAGTAGCGGTGCGTCGACTTTAAGAACAGCGTAAAATACTGCATCACGTAAGATCCTACCGTGAGTGTCCAGAGCGCGTAACCAGCTGTAAAGGTGTACACTTGCCACGAAGTTGCGATTCGCTTGACCACTGTCCAATCCATCTTGCCGACCGGCTTGCGACCCTCCTCCTCAATGCGCTCGCAGGCTCGGCGGCGCTCCCACTCGTTTAGGTAAAAAGCAGTGGTTTTCTCAGGAGTATCTGGGAAGCAAAACTAGCACATGGGTCAGTTTTCAGGGAGTCAATAATGCTTTGGGTAACGTACGAATCCATAAATGGCAACGGGGATGGATAAGAGGAAGTCAAAGATGAAAAGCCACCTCCATGCTGCCAGACCGCCTTTGCCATGCATACCGCTGAAAAGGGCGGACTGTAGATAACCCGAAAACATTTGGCCCAGAACGCCGCTCACGACAAAAAGAGACGACCGCCTGGCCAGCTCGCTTTTTCGATACCAACATCCCAGCGTCCACTGTACACCGGGCCAGGCAGCCGACTCGAACAACCCGCAGCAGAACCGCAGCGCATAGAATTGACCAGCCGTGTGGCACTTATACATTCCCAAGACAAAGAAGCTCCATGTCATGAGGCAGGACGGTAGCCAGTAGCGGGGTCGTACGATGGTAATGATGAGATTGGCAAAGGGGGCGCCGATGAGGTTGCCACAGTTGAATAAGGTGTTCATCCAACTGAGCTCGTTGCCTGGGCCAAAGCCCAGATCCTCAGACATACCGGAAACATATGCATTCGTGATGTTGCTGCTGTCAAGCCACTTGATAAAAAAGCAAAGACACGAGTAGGAGAGCAGAAATCAGTCAAGCTTGAAGATGAGCCTCTTCTCTTCCTTGCTCGTATTGGGCTCGTGCCAGTGAAACCATCGTGGCTCCAGTGTTGGCTCTGGAGACCGGACCGGCTTTTCGTCAAGGTGGGGTGAGTGCTTGTCGTCTACCGGCGTCGTACCTGTACCGATACGGCTAGAGTTTGTCTCGGCGGCGCGGAGTTCATATGTCGCTGACATCTTGGCAAGGGTTGCTTAGAGTCTTGGTCACACGAGGACTAGTAGATACGCCAAGTAATGTCTTTTGTCATCTGGATTGATAGATTTCACACCACCATATTCTCAATAGATCTCTGAAAGGTAAAAGCACATTAAACGTTGGGTAATCTGGCACCTTTTATGGACGATCTTATGTATCTCTGGTTATCAGTCCCGGTCTGTGCTTTAGCAAGCTTTTCCCCCTCAATCAATCGCGAACTTTGAAGGGGCAAGCACGCAAAGCTAGCTAGCTGCTTCAACTTGCCCGTCTTGAGAGTTATCGAGGGTCAGCAAGACCCGGTTTTGAGCATTCAAGCCTCGAGTTGTCACCTATCTGGGTTAGTCATGTCGGGTCAACCCGACAATTACCCCACACCGCCTCTCGATGTTATCGAGGTAGATCAACCGGCAGTCGGACACACCCGACTAGCCTTCTTTCGTTTCCAAATCATGCTCGTCGGCGTCGTGCAAACAACGATCTCCTCATAAATGTTAAGAACCAGGGGCAGAGATCCACGGATGGTCCTCTATATGAGATATACGGTCTTGTTGAAGAGTATAGTCAACAATCATCCAATTTGGTCGCAGAATGGTGGAATACGTGAATATCAATGGCGCCCGCCTTGCTTATCGGATGTCAGGACCCAAGGACGCCCCATTGTTCATAACACTACATGGCGGGCGCGGGATGGGTTAGTCAGATAGACCATTTGCGATAGCCAACTAGCAGGTTACTAACCCACATCAGGAGATCACAAATCAGACTTCAAGGCTTATAGTCCTTTGGCAGACCAGTATCGAGTTTTATCCTTTGACTATCGCGGGCATGGGCAGAGTTCTTCAACCAAGCCATATACTTTCGAACAAATTGTAGATGACATCGAAGAGGTTCGCAGACAGTTTTCGAGTGATGATCAGAAAGCCATTATTTGTGGAGGAAGCTTTGGTGGTTTCTTGGCCCAACATTACGCTATCAAATACGCCGAAAAGGTCCGATACTTGATTCTACGTGGAACTGCGCCCAGCTATCACCGTGAGATAAGCCCCTATTACCACCAATTGATATGAAGAGTCCCATTCTAATGATATAGTTACGGCTTAGAGGAAGAAGATGCTATCAAAGTACTTGAGAGCAGGCTACACAAAGCTCCTAGCTTCTCTGTTGGAATGCTAAAGAATAAAGTTTTCGGGGCTTTTGAAAGCGATCTAGAGTTTCAACTAGTACATCTTGCCATGTCGCCTTTGTATAGTGAGGCATTTGATCCGAATGCAGCTTTAAGGAGTTGCTTAGACAATGTATACAATGCTGAGTCACATAGTAAGCATCTCTCCGTTCTCGCTATCTCGACATGCAAATACATGACTTAAAGTCTAACTGGCTGTAGACGATCTATACTCGGAAGACGAAAAATATTTTGACTACCGAGACGACCTACCTAAAATCAAAGCGAAGACTTTGGTGATAGTTGGGGATAAAGATTGGATATGTCCGCCAAGTAAGAAACATGAATATATTTTTAACGACACCGATCGAAAATATGCTTACTTTTATCCAGGAAACTCGATACTCATTACTTCGAGAATCCCACACGCTGAGTTATTCATTGTGGAGAACGCAAATCATAGCGTCCACTTAGAGAAGAACAAGGAGGTTATTGAAAAAATCAGAGCATTTATAGCAACTGAGATTCCTGCAGAGTAAATTACAAGCAAAAAAGTAGCAACTTATAAGAGCTAAGAGAGGCTCCAGAAGTGGACTGTAAATAGTAGGCCTAGAAGGCAGATTGCTAGCTCACGTAGAATGTTCCAACTTTCTTATGTCGCTACCAAAGCTTGGGTATGGCTATCATGTCTCTGTAACTGAGCTCCCTAGGTAGGATCTCTGGTGCCTACTTAACAGGATCTTAGAGTACAGAGAAAGGTGAGGTTGGCTTAGAAGCAGAAGTGGTGAATTGTTGTTGCATCAAACAGCCATTAAATAGAAGATATCTCAAGTCATTATTTTCATGACAAGTTCACATGAATTCAATGGTATTTCCGACAAAAGCCGCATCGTCGCTACATAGGAGGACCTGGATAGATCGACGGATTGCCCTCTCAATGGATACCATTTGGGTTTCGGCAAAACCATGAACTCATTTAGGTGGCAGTTATTCTAATCCAGGACTCTACAACAAAGTCGCAGCTAAGATGACTGAGTTCTTAGCTCTTGTGAGTACTCGAGGTATCACGGAAAACTATACATTCTTGAGTAATCGAGAAAAATATATGCTAAAAATAGGGTTTTGGCATTCCCTTATATTCCGGTCTCTGTGGGTGAGATCGAGAATCACAGCAATCAGCAAAATAGAAGGTAAAATTTACTCTAACTTGGTCAAGGAATATTTGAGCTATGGTATAGCAGCCAATGAATAGATTCGCGAAAGAAAATAGCATGTTATCCGAAAGGGAAAGAAAAGGTCCTGATGACATTGCAGTAAGAATTTGAATGGTTTGACGTCACATACGACACTCTTCATCGCCATTGAAAAGCCCAATACATTTTAATAGCCCAATCACTGTCGCCTGGAGGCTTCATTTTCTTGCATCAATCTCTGAGCCGCTGCAAATTCTGTAGACACGCATACGTGGCGGTGTCTCGTTATCGATGAATGTCGGAGCTGCCTGCCACATTCCTCACATGGGATTGTAGGTCGATTGTAGGGCAATTCTAGGGGCGCCTCTAAATCAGGAGAACCGGGGTGTTCTTTCTTCCTATGAGCGACAAGTTTACTAAATTTCAAGAAGCCCTTCCCCCTGACTCTCTTGCAGCTAATAATATTGCAAGGATGTGGGGTCCAATCATGGATCTCCTTCATATACTTGGAATACTCCGACTGAGTTATGAATGGTCGAGTTTGCTGCTGAGTATTGTGTGGTAATTCAAAGTATGATTCATCACGATGCTTTTCACAATTCGAGACGTGACATACTGGGATGAGCCACATACGGTTTTCAGATGTGGGAAATAGCGCCGAGGACTCGGTGGGCGTAAGCCTATGAGCATGAGCAAGATGTTGTTTGAGATGCTCTTTGCGCTTGAAAGCACGGTTGCCTTGGTATTGCGAACATCTGTTGCAGGGATAAGACTCGCTGCCTTTTTTTTTGGAGATCTCTGATGTGGCGATGAAGACTGCTCAATCTTGTAAATGTCACCTGACATTTGCAAATATATCGCGAGCCGAGTTGTCCGGCGACAGAGTGTTGCGTCGCACAGAGATGCGGAAATTTGAGAGCGAGAGTGATTTCCGGATCTCTTTCGTTGCTTTCAAAATCATGGTGAAAAGGGTGCGCCAAGTCTTCACCTATATACTCAGAGCCTTGATGCTCTGCAGCTGGGAACGGAGAAAGGAAATGGTCGTCCTTAAAATTGGGCTTTGGAGGTATGTTTAAGTTGTTGTCCAATTTCCCGAAGTTGTGCGTCGGGAGTGTTCTGTCATGTTCACATCAGACAGGGTGATGGTCAGAGACAGGGAATGTGCGGTTGAACCCAAAACCTAGCCCTGTGATCACCCGAAGCCAAACCCAATCATGTTGAAGTACACTACATTCGGACTAATTTATTTCGTAGCTAAGTATAATATGCGTGTTTTTGGTGTGTTGGTGTACGTTAGGCATATACCGACTTGGGTAAAATAGATTGGAAGGCTATCCAAGGCGCGCCAGATGGCCAACATATATTGCATGTAGGATTACACGTCCTGGTTATTATCTTGATAGCAATCGCACTAGTGCCACACATCGTCATATAAATTCACGCACGAGGTCCTGCTTTTATAGTAGCTTGTGTCAATATTCAAACGATATGGCTCGTTTTCGCGTCCATAATCCATCTATCGTCTCCATCCTCCAAACTGGCTTGAGCGTCGACGTTCAATGCGGTGTTTTAGCAAGATCACCACAAATCATGCCTTACCCCGAGCAGCCAATTGAGCCTCAAAGAGACTCGCAGGCTCAACCGATCGTTTCTCTTCCTCCATAGTCCCATTATTGCCCTTCAACCTACTCCCACCATGACATCCAACTCCCCAATTCGTCCCCAGCGGGGGACTCTGGATGTTATAATCCCCATTGATATTCCACGCCACTCCACTGTTGATCGCCCAACCGTGCCCGCTGCCCGCCGTGCCGCGGTTGATGAGCGTCGTCGTCGCCGTCGTGTTGTCCACGAGCAGGCCGTGCGCCCAGTGTGCGTGCGGCTGGATTTGCATGACTGGTTGCTGTCCGAAATGGCGTACCACAGCATTGGGGCCGGGGATGAGACCTTGTGTTACAATGGGAAATGATTTAGCATCTGCGGCACCTTTGGTGCCGCTGTCGATAACTAGAACCTGTGTCCCGGAGATGGCAATGTCGGCAGCATAGCCGGCGCCGTTATCTGTGGCGTGGTCCCGGTGGACAGACACGCTCTGGATTGTAATCCTCGAAGAATTTTGTCCGATCTTCACGGCGTTGTTGAAACCTGTAATAGACAGCCCGCGCGCGTAGCTGTCGGTGACCCATGGAAGGATTGTCAGGGCGCTTCCCTGACATGAGTTGTCGGTTATGATCTTGCCTGAGCAGCTGGGGGATAGAGTGATGCTCATGGACTCAACACCGAGCTCAGAGGGAGCGGATGGTGGCGTGTATATCACAAGCTTGGGGGACATATAAGCGGAGTCAAGTTGGTCAGTCAGAGGTATGTCTAGTGTGACTGTGTTGGACGAAATGGCTTTGACAATTCGAGGCTGGTAGACAGTATCTTGAGGCTGCCAAAGAAAGCCAGTCAGCAAAATCCACCCAATGTACTCTCCAACGAGCCTAGTTCTTTTCACTCACTGTGAGCCAGGTCTGATGTTCACCGTCCCGGACGAGATCAGCCATCCCGTTCGCGCGCACCCATTTCGCCGTCACGGCCCTTTGTACCCAAACATTCTGTCCCACTTTCAACCCTGTCGAGTCTTTGACGGTCACTTTGGTCGCGCCGACAGGCACGTATTTGTCCGTGATTGCAAATGAAGTGCCGGGCTTAGGATTTGAGACCTTGGTACCCATGGTGATCACGCTGAACTCCCCGCTCTTTGGTAGCAAAGTTGTCTTTCCGGGCCCAGCTCCCCTCAAGCTTACACCCCTGGGGATGGTTAGACCAGAGTTGAGATGGTAGTCGCCCGGTGCCAGCGCGATGACACCACCGCCGCTAGATGAAGAAAGGTTGTTCAATGCATCTTGAATCTGCTTGCTTTGGTCGCCGCTAGCAGCTTGAATCGTGACTGCTGCTGCTCGATGAGAGTCAGGAAGAGGATCATTCGAGGCATGGTAGCCACAAAAGCTGAAGTCAGGAATGCCATTGCCTTTCTTATCCTTGAGCTCCGTATAGTCTACAGTAACCGCCAATGCGACTGGCAAGACCAGGAACTGCAGAACAACGCCTGGAAAAATCATTACAGATGTTGAAGAGTCGGTCTATGTCGTAAACGGGCTATTTGCTGCAGAAAGCGGTAAACTCCTCTGGATATATCTCAAATATGATCTACTTTATATACAATTTCTAGTCGCGATTCCATCCGAAAAGGGATGGATACTTCGCATCGAGTCTAGCATTCTGCTTACAAGCTGACTGTGGGTTACATGGGGCCGAATTCGCATATCGACCAGCGAGCCTATGAAACTTCAGATTCTCATTGTGAACCCGGGCCCGCTGAGGCGCAGGAAACGTAAAAGAAATTTGGAGAGTTGCAGAAGACAATCAATCATAGTTGCAAGGCTGGGAGTAGCAGAGGTCATACAAGGGCTGTACGAAAATGACGCTTACGGCATGTTGGCATGAAATGCCTCGATTACCTAAAGAAGAAATCATATGCGCGCGCATCGTCAGCGTCAATTTCTAGGTGGGTATTAATTAAATTGTTTCAGCTCACTCATGTAAGTAAAGTGCCCAACACATTGACGTTCCTCAACTTGAGGGGAATTCGTGCCAAACAGTGGAAATAGAAACTCAGCCTGAACACCTACCTGTATACTTCTCATTTGAGGTCGTCCAAGATGAAAAGCCCGGGATGAGCATTGGGTTGACTCCAGCCAGTTACTCCTCGAAAATTGCAGTGTTCTAGAAATAGTTGAAAAGATGAAAAGAAGAGCAAAAGGGGAGAATACATCGGAAGCACCGTACACTATTTGCATGGATTTCACAAGCAGTAGCAACGGGCAGTTTCAAAAAGTCTAAGTGCTAGATACACGGGCATAGTGAATGATGTGATAAAGTGGTAAAATGGTCAACTATGAACCCTACAAAGGATATGGTCACGCTGGTTCGAGGAAGGCGAGAGGAAGGTAGTGTTCACTAGTAGCAGCTCATGCCTCTGATGTGTCAGCATAGATCCTTATGGTCATGCCAGAAACGAGCCAGTTCTCCGAAAGACGGTTTTTCCATATGAGTCTGAGCCCAGGAAAGGATTCCGCACTCAACCGGAAACTGCATCTCCATCCCTGGAATCTGGCATTCACACTTCCTCTCCAGTCCTAGGGCTATACACTCGCAATCCCGATTCGACCCTGGATATTTCCTACCCACTAGACCCTTATGGAATACTCCACGCTGCTCAACATACCATCTTTGCGAACAATGTGAAGTCCTCATATCTTTGTTTGGGAAGCACTCCTCCCACAGCCGTGCATCGGTGGCCCGTTCTTCGAGTGTCGTCTCCGTAGGGAAAAGTAGTAACGTAGCAGACGTTGGATATAAACGGTCGTCTTCGAGAAATACCCAGGCTCGTTGTCGGTACAAATTTTTGAAGAAGCCCTGATGAATCAGAACCACGAGAACGAAGCTCCCATTACATTCCTGAGTATTTCTCACTGTACTGATCATCTGGATCAACACGGCCATGAAAGCTCTCTATGTAGCTTGGAGTAGTTACCCCCCAGATTAAATTGAAATAGTTCCTAAACCATAGCTTAAGGTAATCCAATCCATGTAATCCGAGTGTGGTGTAACGAAGAAAAGTTGCAGCAAGATCAAAACCGAAGCATGCCAATTCGGGTACGATTTTCAATTCAAAGATCCTGAAACGCGCCAGATCGGCAGCATAAATATCAGCATTGACATAGACACTGTCTGGAAATAATAGTCTCGATGTGGTACGAGAAGATATGGAGCCAGTCGGGATCTCCGGGAGCCAGGAGTTTCCTGATTGTGCAAATATAGCCCCATACAAGGACTCGACATACTTGTTCACACAGCGGATGGCTTCTCATTCTGACGGTGGTAGCTTCCGGTCTACTAATGTGTTCAAGTTCATTGCTTCCGACTTTTGTAGCTTACACAGAAGCTCATACCGCAGAAACGCTCTGAATAGTCGTCTCCTTCTGTACATTTTAGCTAGGCAGCATCAAACCTGAGGCTTACTTCCTGGTCTTGGTATACGAGACGGCCATGGAGTGATAACTCAGGAAGGCAAAGAATGTTCCGAGGGGGGTTAGGTTGCAGTTGCCTTGGTGAGATAGTCCTCGATAAAGAGTAGTAATCTGCCATGAAGTTTCTCGAGCTCGTTGCTAAGATTGTGATCTGTTTGTAGGGGTTTGCGGAGTAGCTGTGCTTTCCACGAGTTAAAGGGATCGCTGGTCGGGTATATGTTGTACATGTCGTAGGGGTCGTAGGAAGGAAATGTGATGATTCCTACAGCATCCTGAATCATCTTGTCGTCGAAGTCGGCATATAATATTTTCATAGTGATGAATGCTCTTGATTCAGCGTACTGATAAAGCATGATAGGAGAAGCCCGAATAAGCTGTAATATGAAGCGTTTGGAACGAACACATACCAGTATGTGTAGACGAAACTCTGGTGGGAGCATCATGAAAAGGTCCATCTTTAGTGATGTTGAGCAGGTCAAATTAGCCGCAGAGCCTGAAATGTGAGATCAGTTGTTCGCCGAGCTATAGTGTAAATGTGCAGGAATACGGTTACGAGGTTGTATGTATCCTTCAAATGATTTAAATGACGGATGAAATGTTTGGCTAGTTTGCGAGGTAGTTTTATTTCAATGGAAATTAGTCATTGTATGCTTCGGAGAAAGAAATATCAGACTTTGCTATTCACTACAAAAGTTTAGATAACAGCATGTACCCACAACACTCCCATGGATCATGCTCTTTAGTTCACACTGAATAGCAGTAGATTTACGGATTGGTGAAATTCTATTCAGATACTATCTAACTACAATGACCAAACCTATAAGTATTCACCCATCATATCTCATCCCCATGTCTACTTGGACTTTTCCATCACATGCTCGGGCTAACAGTCAAATTAGAACAAGGCTTTCAATACGAATCACTCAAGAAGCAAAACAAGCAAGTAATTGATCAGATGTTGAATTTGAGGGCCATTCTGCCTATTGCTTCCTTGTGTGTGGTATCCATACAGTAGAATCCATAGCCACCGTTGCCAAATTCCCCACAACGCCGGTCTGTAGCCAGACATGTCTCGGCTAACGAAAGGGGGTATGTGAAGTAAGGTGGCGCGCGTAGCACGCCAGTGGGAGAATCGAATAGTCTTTCCCAGAGGTGGTAATTACAAAAGAGATAGGACAAATTCAGACTCCTTCCCCCCTAGAGTCTCTACTCGACAAGAAAGCAGCGTGATGCCACAAAACTAGTAAATGGGCCGCGAGCCGGGCTCATCCCACTTGCGATGAATACCGGCTCTGTTCTCGGACATCTCGAGCTGAGGCTGAGGGGATTCGTCCTCGCCCTTGACGTCCGGGCCCCAAGAAACTCTCCCACTCCGTCGGCGTCGGAAGCTGGTGTCAGCGACACTGCTAGGGCCGATCCACTCCCAGGCCCGACCGACCTCGCCATTGTGGCCCTCGCGCTGGCCCGTCCGCACGTTGCTGTTCTGCTCAACCACGGCGCGGACCCGCTGCCAGATGCGCTCGCGCTCTGACACGCTGTGCACGTTACGCAGCACATCGTCTCTCAAATTCGGCAGGAAGAGGAACGGGTCATCTTCCCCACCATCCTCGTACGCCAACTCCTTCTGGGTGGCGAGACGCTCGAGGACAATGTTGACAAGGCCAGGGACCTTAGCCGCTGTAGCGCGATATGAGCGGTATGTAGACCGTGCATACAAGAAAGACAGGATCGAAGCTATTACAGCCCCAATGCCGAGTCGATGTCTTGCCAGCCCGAGGCGGATGGAGCGGCGGACCGCGCAGGTGATTGGAACGCGAGAGAGAGAGGTGCTCGAGAGGAGAACTGGAACGGCTCCGCCGGTGGCAGGGTCTCTGGATCGAAAACATGTCTGGTTAGTCAGCTTGTCAGGTACTCTTCAAATCTTGGTCCTCCAGGATACGCATTACTGCGACATGTGCTCGGTGCAACCTGAGAAGGGGATGGGAGGATAAAACTTACGGTTGTGTCTCTGCCTCGACCTGGATCTCTTCCCTAGATTCGATCTCGCCTAAGGCAGCCGCCCACAAATCATCAAACTCTTGCTTGCTCATCTTCTTGTTCCGCTTCTCGCTGACTGTTTCCTTCAAAACAGGCTCAGCGATGGATGGGGTTGCGGGCTTCCCATCTTCTTCCTCAAGCTCTCCGCACTCATACTTTGCTCGGCGCTCACGGAGCTCCTCAACAGCCTTGTCTGCCACGGCCTGAACCCGACGGACCTTCTCACCGTCGGGCTCGCAAGTCGGAGGGATTGGAACAAGGCCGCCGAGAGACAGTGGGTGGTTCTTCAGGATGAAGTCGTCCTCACATCGAACGGAGTAGTCCTCATAGCAGTAGGCATGCGGCGGGCATGGCTCGCACTGCGGCTCCGCCAAGGCGACAGCCCAGTCCGGAATATCGAAGTTGAGGTCGGCAGGAATGATTTGCGTAGCTGGCCGCCCAAGCCCGCAATAGCCAACGGCAATCTTCTCTTGTCTGTACCAAGCCGCGTAGGCGCCCAGCAACGTTGTGGCTAAAACCCAAAGCGGCGTTGTCAAGCTCGATCGCTTCTTTGACCGCCTCTGAGGTACCACAGCATTTTGTGCCCTGGTGGGCTCTTCCTCCTCCAGTGCCAATTGCTCCTCCGGCGTGAACTCTTCACCGGCCTCGACAACTGGTGCCTCCGGCGTCTTTGAGCGTAATCTGCTCACGGGGATCTCGAAGGACTTGGAGAAATGCGAAGTAGCGTCGTCAGCGACCGGGCCATCCGTTCTTCTCCTTGCCGCCGAGCCTGCAGGCTTCTTTGCGGTCGATTCCACACCAGCAGTTCTCCTACGATTAGTTGGAGTCTTAGGTACCGGCGGTGGAGAGCTTCCACTCTGGAATGGGTTGTCGCTGGTGAACACAGTGTCGTCGTCCGCAGAGTGCCTGACAATTGTGTCTTCGTCAGACTCCTCTACCTTGACCTGCGGCGGCAGCTCACTGCGGCGAGGCTTCCTCACAGATCTCCTGCCATCCGCATGCGAATCTGTGTCGGTGTCCGACGCGAGCGGCGTCTGACGACTGCTTGCCCTGCCCTTGCGCTTTGTCGGGCTGGCGACGGGTTCGGGTAGGTGCTCCGGCTCCTCCGACTCCTTCTTAACTCGAGTGGAGGTTTTCCGCGGGGACCTAGCCCGCTTGGAAGTACTCGGCGGAGGCATGAGGGTGTCGTCGGTGGAGATGGCCGTGTCCTGCGAGCTCTCCGCGTCGACGATGCCGTAGCTGGAGCGCTTCGCCCTCGCGCGCTGCGCCAGGATCTTCTTAGATTGTGGCGCCACCTTATCGTTGAAGAGGTCGACCAACTGCTGCTTCTTGGCGGTCGCTGGGTAGGACACATTGTAGGTGACGAGGATGGAGCGCAGTCGCGGGACGGTCAGCGACCATGGGTCAAAGCCGCCCTGGAGATAGTCCACGCTCTCCGTGTCAGACATCTTTCCGCAAAGTCGCTAGGTCAATGGCAGGAGACTAAGTGAGATGAATGTCACGAGGAAAGCACACAAAGCAAAATCGCCGATGCCGAGATCAAGGGTTGATGGCTTGTGGGAAACAGCTGATGCAGTGTTGCTCAAAGCTAATCAATTCCTAGAAATGTGCGACCGATGACAGCATCAAAGGTTGAGTGCAGGCGCCTTGAAGCACGCTCTCTCCCAACTGCGGGGAATAGCAAAACAAGCCCGAAGCTGTGTGGTTTCTTGCGCTCTCCAGACAATCCCAGGCTTTTTGCACCGTCGCAATCGTGACTTGCGAAACGTGTAGGAGGGAAAACCGGAGGATGCGCTGGCGGGGGAGATGAGATTGATGTTGATTTTATTTTAAAGGACAGCCGGTGGGTGGATGGTCGATGTCGACTGACGCAAGTGAAGAAAGCTTGGGGGCCACCATTAGGTCGGTTGTCAGTGGCAACCTGGGCTCGAAATTGGCGCTTGGAGGGGTGCTAGAGTGGTAGCCCACCGCGGAAGGACCTTTTGAAAGGCATTTCCCCGTCGGAGAATATGTGCACGCAAGCCACAGTGCGCCACATGATCGATTAGTCATGGTCTAGGCTAGCCGTTTGGGTGGGTGGCGAACTAACACCCCCGGCTGCCTCCCGTCCCCCTAACCCATGAGCTTTTGGCCTCGCCTTCACATGCTCAGGGGTAACACATTGGTTGGGCTATATTTCATACGTCACAGTATTTGATGAGGGTCATTATCATATCAAAGTCACATGCAATATATTGAAGGTTGAACTGTAATATTTTGCCAAACGGCAGGGTTTTTTTTTGTGTATTTTCTGAGGTTTTCTCTTTTTTTTTTTCTGGTTTTTGTTTGTGGTTTCTTATTTGATCCAAAGCATCATTACCTTTTTTTTGTGTGTTGTTTGTTGTACGAGAAGCAGTCACGATATCCAGAAGCCCGAAACGTCGTTGAGAAAGCGATCGAATGAATGAAAAACTCGTGGAGTTATTATTCAAGATAGGGGGAGCACTTGTTCATGCTCCCCAGCCGAAATCCAAAAACCGTTAACATACAAAAATGAGGCCAGCCGTATCCCACGGGGCCAAACTCGTTTCCCACGCTTCGCTGAGTGATTATGTGACATGAGTTGTCCACCATGCGCCATGCGCCATTGCCCCTTTCCTCCTAACCTTGTCTGGCATATTCCCATGCCCATGCCCCTTACTCAATGTCCACCTTGCGGACCTCGGTCCACTCCTTCTCGACCTTGGGCACCGTGACGACCAGCACGCCGTCCTCCATCTTGGCCGCGATGCCCTCGCTGTCGACCTCGTCCTTGGTCTCGCTGCCCTCGGGCGGCAGGCGCACGTCGCGCGCGAACAGGCCGACGCGACGCTCGCCGCTCACCAAGCCCTGGAGGAAGGCCTCGTCGCCGGGCCGGTAGACCACGCCGCTGACGCCCAGCACGCTCTTGTCCGCGTCCCAGTTGACGCCCACGTCCTGCTTCTTGGCGCCTGGTACCGCTACGTGCAGCACCCACGACGTGGCCGTCTCGAAAATGTCGACGGGCGGCGCGAAGGACTCGACGTCCTCGTCGGAGGAATCGTTGCTCTCCTCGTTCTCGGCTGCGGCACGGTCGTTGGTTGTGTCGTTGCCGGTGGCGTTCTGAGCCCGCTCGAGGTACTCGCGCACCTGTTGTGCGTATGGGTGGCTAGCGAAAGCCTGGATTAGAGGCGTGAAGTCGAAGGGAAAGCCAGCGCCATGGGGTCCATGAGGGCCACCAAAGGGAGGAGGCGGCGGCGGGCCGTGGTGGTGATGAGGGCCACGACCGAAGGGACCAGGGCCAAAGCCAGGTCCGTGGTGTGGTGGTCCATGAGGGTGCTCGCCGCGGAAGCCAAAGCCTCCACGTCCACGACGGCCGGGACCGCCACCATGGCGGCCGTGGTGATGGCCACGTCGGTGCTCACGCGGGTCGGGGATCTCCTCAGGCGGGTCGGCCGTCTCGTCGCGCAGGGTGGCGGGCGAGTCCTGCTTCTCGTTGCCGCTCATGCCGCCCATCTCCTTGTCGTTTTCCTCGCCGCCAGTGGCAGCAGCACGCTCCTCGTCGGTATATTGAGGAGGCTGCTCCTCATCGCCAGAGCCAGGGGCGCCGCCAGGGAAGCCTCGGCGGAAGCGTCTGCCCCTGCAGGAGCCTCGACGGCCCCATGGGCCCTCAGCCCAGTCCTCACCACCCCAGTGGCGCCATGGTCCTCCGCCGCGTCGACGACCCCATCCCTCGAAGCCGCCTGGGCCGAAGGGGAAGCCGGGTCCGAAATTCATGCCGGGGAACTCAGGGCCAGTGTGGTCGACACCAGCGCCGCGAGCGTGGCTGGGGTCTAGGGCCGCCATGAAGTCCCAGAAAGGGACGGATGCGTGATTGAAGTTAGGGGGGCCGTTCCAAGCCATGTTGATTGTTTGTGAATTTGCTGATGTAGGTATTGTAAGGAGTGATCTGTTGATGATGTAGGTGATAGTGTGATGAAAGTAAAGTCCTTGACTTTGAGAGGATGTCGGAATCAATAGATTGATAGAGAAGAGAAGAGAAGGAAACAGGAACAGTCTCAGAGACAGGATAAAGTGAAGCCTATATAGGACTTACCAACCCCAAGGCAAGAACGAGGGTGCGTAACTACGAACACCTCAGACGACAGTCGCCTCGTAGGCGAGCATGCCTTGACTAGGCGAACTCACTTACATGGCTCACCTCACAAGCTAACTACCGCGCGGAAGAAGGACAACCAAATGAAGGGGGGCGATAAGTCCCATCCCGCCACCGCCGGACCAGCAAACCACATTGCGCCGTCTTGCTAGAGGACTCGGACGATCTCAAAACTAGTTGGGGCCATCCAGGAGCAGTCACGCAGTCCGCGTACGTACACCTGATATCTGATTCGAAGTTGTTAGAACACATTCGAATGTCTATGCATAATACAGGCTCTTCGCTTGTAAGACATTATGTTGGAGGGGTGGTGGGAGTCACACACCTCTGAGGCCAGGCATGTCTTCGCCACGCGTCCCCGCAATGCGTACGCGGCTCGACTGCAAGTCCCCTAACCTCCGCTGTAAGTTGCGGGCGGTGGTGTAGCTGCACCGAGTGCCGAGCTGACGCTGGGCTCTCTAGCATTTCTAGGTAACTTAGCGCACGCAAGCCACAGCAAGCGGCCACCTCGGCCCCGAGACTGGCGTCGGAGGTTATACCGGGCAATTCGGTACATTCAGCTGGCATCAATTCGATTCGAAAAGAAGCCATAAGACGATTCACGAACTTGCAGCCAGAAGTTCCACATAAATCGGCAGTCCGACGATGAGTCTGAGACTACCCGTGAGGCCTCTTGGCCACTTGGGAGTAACTGGTCTCGACCGAATTGTTTCTGAGCCAATAATACATGCTACCTTTGGCATATCGTGCATTAACAGAAGAGCCCTATCATGGGGCGCTTCAGTATCGTTGTTTCATCTTAGCTGTCTTCAAATGACCGCAACCGCCTTGTCTCATACCTAGGGAGTCGACATGATAGATACACTCACTTCCTATTCGCCATCTTCTCTCTGACCAGATGGTCCTCTGTACTATGCTTTTCTGATACTATCAAATAAGATTAACATCTATTTTCTGAGCAGCATTGAAAAAGTCCTCTCTACACACCTCTCCTACTCCAACACGTTCAAATCCATCCTTCAATAGCCTACTCCTCGTCACCACAAGCACGAAGTAGCTCTGAAAAGCGCCCTTATAAGTCATTCTGGCAGTGTGTAGACAGAAGAGTTCTTCCGTCCGGAGATCCTCCTGGTCGAAAATCGCCCATCCACAGACCCTGTCGTCCGCATCGTAGAGGCAGTGCGCCTGGAAGCTGCGACTCTCACGCAAGGCCTCCTTCACATGGGCGGAGGCCACCTTGTCAATGTCAGAATGCTTGATCAGTGAGTTTGACCGCGTTATCTCCCGTAAAGAGGCCGCGAGAAACAGAGGCTGCAACGGTGAGGTCTCGACAGCTCCGCCGCCGGCGCCGCCGCCGGGACCTTCCCTAATACAAATGGTCGACTCGAGACTCGGCAGCGGAGACTGCAGCCTGTGCAGATGAGCCACAGGCCCGTCCAGAGCAGCCCAAGACCACGAAGGAGCCCTCCGGTGTGTGGCGGTCTGCATTCTGCTGTCCTTTGACAGCCAGAGCAGGCTCCTGTTAAGATACTTGAGCCACAGGCCGGAAACATACTCGCTCCCGAGATGGGGGCGCAGATATGTCGCCAACGCGGCAAGCGCAACGAGCTTGTCTCCGGGCTGCGTCAAGCTCCTCGTGGAGAGTACTCCACGAGCCTGAACCAGGTCTCAAGATCTGCAGGAGGCCGTAGGGAGAAGTAGGATGACGGGGTGGTCAAGATGTGCTGCACGCGGAAGTCTGCGCCTGCGCCTGCGCCTGCGCTTCGGCGGAGCTCCACGAAGTCTTCTGCAGAGAGCGTCCCCCGGCACTGCCAGACGATGCGGTTCTCGAAGAAATGCAGCATCCGGGGCGACAGGACGTACTCCTGGAGACACCATGCTCTCTTGTTCCAGGGGCTCTCGAGGAAGTCATCGGCGATCGAGCCGGTGTGGTTGGTGAACGTGACCTTGGACGTATCTCTGGCCATATCTACCGAAAGCTGCACGTCGACGCTGTCGCGCGTCACATTTCTGGGGAACAAGCAACCCTGATTGGCATCTTTCGCAGCAGTCGCAACAAGCGTAACGACAGCTGACTGATATAGTGCCGCCATCCGCTTGGACTCGGCGGCCCAGTCTTCTTGGTCATCTTGGACGATGCATAGGCTATCGACCCATAGATACTCAATACCAAGCGCTCTTGTGATTTGAGTTGCATCTCGTATCGTCTTCGGGAGCCGAGAGGGCTCGATATAAGTATGATGTTGCTCGAGGGTCGCCTTGGTCGTCTTGATGCCTGTGAAGTTCCCACCCCAGCAGTAGCTGAGGGCAGCGTAGCGACTCGAGACATCCCGAGATGAGACCAGGTGCAGCTCAGGAACCATGCCCTCGTTGTTTATCTTGATGAACCGAGCGGGCAGTCCTTCGGGCGGCCTACCGATTGAGCACGAGTGGTTGGTGCAACAGTTCGATAACCACTGCTGCAAAAGCTCAAAGTCGCACTGCGCTGACATCGGCCGCCCAATCGCGAATCCAGCTCTCGCGGCAGCACTGTCTAAGAACAGTCAATGATACACTATTGCATCAAGCATCGGGACTCGCACCTGGCTCGGCATGTACATTCACAAAGCGACCGACCTTGTCGCCAACACGCACAAACACGCGCGACAGTCCGACCGGATCTCCTGCTGCATCGGAAGCCCACGGGAAGAGCCTGACTGCGTCATGTCGAATGCCCTTGAGCCTGGTTCCCGATATGGCATCCAGAAACAGCGCACATAGCCTGCAGGTTCTTGCGGATGCCGTAAGCTTGGCCACGCTGCGGTGCAGCTCGTGGCCGTCTGCTGCCTGGCCGTTTGTGACGATCGGCAGCTGGATGTTCTCACACGAGATACAGAGCGCCATATGAGTTAGGAACCACAGGCGGACAACGCATCTCGAAACTTTACCTTCGTAGCCCCTTGGTTTTACTTGTGCTGGTAAACACAGAGATAGACTGGCTGACATGCCCATCGCCAGTCGGTTCGCAGACGGCACTTACCGTTTCTCAGCTCCGAAAAGTAGGAGGACGAGAGGCATGCCTCTTCACCAATCAACCCTCATCCTCAACATGACTGCACTTCAGCACCTGCCTGCTCAGCACTTTGTTATCGAAACGCACGATTCAAAAGCCACATACACCAACAACCCTTCGTCATTACCAATCATATGTAACAGGTCTAGCAGCACGACGCAACACGCCGGCCCTAGCCTTCTTATACATGTCTGCTTGTATATATGTCTACAGATTTGATTTGCAGATTGCTCTGATGGCTCGGCAGGGCCAATCATCTACATGGATAAATCCCTGCCAGTGTAGTGTAGTGTATACATATATAATGCCACATGGAACTAGAAATTGTAGCCAGTCCATATCTACCTTACTTGCGCTGCTCTGGAAGAAGAACAATGTGGTAGGAACATGACCAAATAGCCTCCTAAACACCCTTCCTCCTAATGCTATTCCGCCTCGACCTAGCATGCGCTCGCTCGCTCGCTCGCTCGCTCCTTGTCGAAGTGCCACTCGTGACACACCGTCGTGTATCGTCATCTCGCTTGCATCATGCCCGTCCTATCCCAACCCCGTCCCATCCCATACCGAAAATATCTTGTTTCCTTTCGCTGGTGTATTAGATTGCCAGATCAATTGCCCATATCAGAGAGCCTGTCCCGAATATAGATAGAAGCGCATATACCCAACCTCCCAGATGTTAAAAACGCCGTGGCTGCTTAGCTGCCTGCCCCAAATAAGCAAATGTTGCCGATTTCCCATTTCCATCCTAGCTTTGTCTCTTATCAAGCCGTTTCCTTTGTTGTTGCTGATGTTGCCAGTTTCTTCTCCGCCTCCTCAGCCCTCTTATTCGCCTCTGCGACCTCCTGTCTCAATTGCTTGATGTACTCGATCGCCATCTCCACGGTGCTCGCCTTGCTGTTGGGGGCGTTCCCTGACTTGTCCTTTTTATCGCTGTCGCCTTCGCTGCCTTTGCTCTCGACGCCTGGGAGGTTGGGGAGTAGAGTCGCGATTTCTTGCAGGGCGGAGTTTATCCGATTCCGCCGGCCCTGCTCGGCGATCTTGTGCGACGTCCGTTTCGAGGTGAGATTGGTCGATAGCTCGCTCGGGTAGGAGACGCCCGGGACGGTGTTGCCTTCAAGAATGTTTTGGTAGTTGGACTTCGATGCTAGCAGACGGGAAGCCGTGTCTTCTGCATTTGAGCCTCCAGGGAGCAGAGGTTTTATGTTTGGCGAAATCTTGGGTCTTAGCGCTGGGGAGACGTGAATCGAGCTGATGCTAGCCCGCTTCTTACTACTCCTCGGCGCCAACTGTGGTGTTTTTCTTAGGTTCGGCGTGGTTGACGAGGAACCTGGGAGGAGTTGCGGACTTGCGCTGGCGGAGGCAGGTCCAGTTGGCTTGGCAAACACTGGGGATGGAAGTGCTTGGAACGGTGTCTTCGGTGCGCCTTCAAGAGCTGGAGAGCGCAATTGTGGTGATTCGGTGTTGATAGGAGCGGGTTGCGGTTTCGAGAAGTTGCTGGAGCTCACAGACTCTGGCAGCTCAAAAGTCTCAATGTGTTCCATCTCATGCGACTCTGCTGAGCCGGTAGTGGTACCTTTATTTGCGTTTGGTGATGTGAGCTTCATGAGGGAAGCAGGTGTCGCTGGCGAAGGCTTGCCGGGCAGGGAAACGTGTGGAGCGGCCGGGGCAGCACTGTTCTGAGGCTGCATATACGGAGAAGGCTTTGCAGACCTCGGCTTGGGAAGGGGTGGAGGCGGCATCTCTGAGAGGTTCTCGGGTGATACAGATCCATTCTCAGAATCGGTCGTTCCCATCGAGACAGGCGTCTGACCCTTTGGCTGAGCCGGATGTTGTATTGGCTTCGAAGATTGGTCCTGAGGCTGCTCTACGCCCTCGGCTAATCCGCTGAGCACCTGGCCATTGAGTAACGGGGTAGATCCTGTTTTTTTCCTCTGCGGTTTTGAGATTGGTGACTGTCGAACACTGCCCTTGCCCCTTGATTTTGTTGAATTGCCTTTCCTGGTCTTCTTGGAGACATCACTTAGACTCGGTGCGGGCAGAGAAGGGGGCACCGCCTCTAGGTCCATCTCATCAGGGGAGCTGGTGTTTGCAGCCGATATCCTATGGTCAAAAACTGCCATTGATTCATTCTGTGCATGAAGCGCAGGAGACGTGAGAGGGCTGAAATAAGCACCAGGAACCGTGAACTGTGTGTCAACGGGGAAATGACTCTCCAGAGGCGTCACAGCGGGTGAGACGAGAGGAGTGAAAGCCATCTATATGCTCATTAGTGAATGCTACTGGATAGCACACGTCTGTTGGTTAACTTACATCATGCTGGTCCTTGAGGCGCTGGTAGCTCTCATACATGCCACCATGCTGATGAGGCGTGTGGTCTGGAGGAACATAGAATTGATTGTTTCCAGCTTGGATCTCAAGACTCTGAGGAGTCGGAGGGACCATGCGGCTCTGGCGCACGTAGTAGGCGGCCTGCTGCTCCTCGAGCTGGCGCTGCTGCTGCTGGAGTTTCTGCTGTTGCAGATACTGGATCTGAGCATCGATCTCCGAGATGGCATCGCCGGGCGAATGCGAGGGGGGCAGCATGGTGGAGGTGATGGAAGGATGGGAGGTCGCGGTGCTCATGGGCATCTGGGCATGCATCGCGGGGTCCATTTGCGATAGGAGCACCTGGCCATCCGTGCCCGTCATGGGCGTATCGATAGTCTCCCGCGGCGGCGGGGCGCCGCCCATGATGGGCTGGTGGCCGTTGGCATTCTGGTAGTCTTGGAAATCGAATTGCAGTCCGTCGCCGAGGTTTCCAATGCTGTTCATGTCCAGGAATTGCTGGAAGTCATCCTCGGGGGCGGGATGCAGGCCGTGGCCCGGACTGTTCCAGCCCTGGGAATTCATCATGGCCATTGGTTGCAGGATGTGTTACTGAAGACTCGCCAGCCTGGCGATTGTCTCCTGCGACGCAATAAAACTAATTTTCTCCTTGCGCGGGTATCAAGCGATTGAGTGCACGATTCTTTATCGAGAGGTCCGGCGGGCGCTGGGGCGTGTGACGAAGCGAGTGATTCACTGGGGTTGGAATGTCTTGGATCACAGGACGGTGGATGAGGGCGCAATCGGCTTCGGGTGGTAACGGCGACGGCGATTGGCGGTCGCGGGCTTCGAGTCGCTAACGAACGTCAATGTCTTTCTCCTTCTCTTTCTTGTGACGAATGATGTCGTTCAATGGCGGCGATGGTGTCTCGAGTATTCTCTCTCCGCGCCTGCTCGAGAGAGGAAGATGGAGGAAAAGAAGTGAAGTGAGTAGGAGAGGTTGAGAGCTCCGAGGAGACGGGATGCCGACGGAGTCGAATCGAAGGAGGGAGGAGAGAAGATGGTTGGTTGGGTGGAGGGTGACCCGGAGTGGAATACCTACCTACTAACGTTACTGTAGATAGACTGTAGACTGTAGACTGTAGGCTGGAGACTCCTCCTATGCAGTGCAGTACGGTCTACAGTCTACCTAGCAGCAGCGAACGGGCGGCGGCGGGTGGGTGTGAGAAAGCCGACCTTGTTTCTTAACCCACCTACCCACCTACCCACCCACACACTCACTCACTCACTTACTTCACATTGTTACCGTGCTGTACCTAACTACCCACTACCTACTCTCGAGCTACTCTCCTCTCACTGCGCGCGCAAACTCGACTTTAGTGACGAGTGGAGGTGGGCTGGGGCAGGTCAGGTAGCCTGGTCTGCTGGTGCATGCTGCACGCTGCATACTGCATACTGCATTGCAAGCAGGTTGGAGGGGGGATCGCAGTCCCGCGCTAACTTCAGGTTGGTAGGAGGCGGGCGGTGGTCAGATTTGCGACGACTGGCCTGTGCGCTAGTGCAGATGAACTCACCATACCAACTGCGGTAGTCCTGGTCCTGTCTGTATTATGCAGTCGCTGCAGACTCTACCTAGGCATGCCTGTGCTGGGTTTCTAGAAGACATGCTCGCTCTGGCGGTGATCTCCTCTCTAGCGACGGCCAAAAAAGAAAAGCAAACAGGCTGCATGCACCTGACGTATCTGATCAGCAAGGCTGATAGACTCTTCACTTTGGATCGGCCAGTCAGTCAATCAATTCGCTTCAGATACTCTAATAATCATGGTCACTTAGATGCTTTCGCCCACACTTGCCTTGACTCTTCAACTCCCATCGTCTACTTAACTTCTGATTGGGTTCCCGGCTCTAATGGACGGTAGCTTTCTCAAAAAAAAAACGTCAAAAATCCCTTTCCACAGCTATAAGCTCTAACGCCGGCCGTTGTGGGCTCCCCCATGACACCGGCTAGTTCCCTCTCAGCAGAAGGGACCCTGAATCGCGGGTAGAAATTTTCTCATAGCGTAGGAGCTCCAGTCGTCAACTTTCGACACAGAGCGAGGCAATCGAGCACGTGGGCTTGCTGGCTTGCTCCTCTCCCAGACGGCCTCCTTCTAGTGACGGAGCTAGAATAAGGCGTCCCGCAACTCACGCGAGTCTCCGCCGGCCGGCCGCCCATCCAACCTCTCTACCTGTCTTGTATATATATATATATGCATGTATGTATGTATCTTATAGACAGACATGGAAAAACAGAACGGCGGGGACTGTGGGCAGCTCCCCTCGCTCCCCAGGGACCCGGAGCATTGCGGATCGGCCTGCCATTGATGCAGCAAAAGCCGGGATGACTAACGATGATGGTGGGCTCCCCCGTCGGCGTTTGTCTTGCGTGATCGTCAGTCGGTCGGTCGGGCGAGCAGTTGGTTGGCATTCATTGACATGCGACCAACTGAACTGCCTCTTTTGAACCAGGCCAAGAGCAGGCCTCAAAACCAAAAC